ATTACTGCTTTAATAACTAATCCATTTAATTTAGATATTAGTAAATAATAATTTAATGCAGAACGATTATTGATAAAAGTAGATAAGTAATGACAATGAATAAGATGCCCACCCCAGAACTCAAACCTGAATGAATTTTGTTCATTAAACCTTTAATTTAGACAATAGATGTTTAAATAAATGTGTCTATTTGTTAGCAAAGGCTGTAGGAAAGTATAGTTAGTCTTTATTTAGAAAATATGGATGTTGTGGTCATTCATTTTCCGTTTGGAACAGTTTTGATTGACCCTGGAACCTATCCACTTTAGGCCCCCCCTCAGTGTACATTGGCCGCCCTTATTAAAATGTTGTGGTTACGCCTCTGAATGGATGGTCAGTTTTCCGGCTGAAATTGTGTGAGTTATACCTTTTTACTGGTGTGTTTCTGTCTCAGTGCCACCAACCATCGTAGAGAGGCCTGAGAGCCAGACGCGTCCGCGAGCAGGCACCGCCCGCTTTATGTGCCAAGCAGAGGGGGTGCCACCGCCGCGTATTCGCTGGCTAAAGAACGGTGAAGACGTTCACCTGAATGGGAGAATAAAGATGTACAACGGGTAACGTAATTCTATAATCCAGTTAAATGTGACGAATGCATTCGTTTTGCTGATGTTTCTTGTGTCCTTGTTTCACAGTAAACTGGTGATCACCCAGATCATCCCAGAAGATGATGCCATCTATCAGTGCATGGCGGAGAATGAACAGGGGTCCGTGCTGTCCTTGGCCCGCCTTATCGTCGTCATGTCTGAGGACAGGCCCAGTGCGCCGAGGAACATCCACGCAGAAACCATCTCCAGCTCTGCCATTTTACTGGCCTGGGAAAGACCGCTGTACAACGCAGACAAAGTGATAGCCTACTCCATCCATTACATGAAGGCTGAAGGTGAGACTGAGATGAAGTTGGTCCTGGAAAGAGAGCAGTTAAAGATGCACAATCAGGGTTAGCTGTGTTGGGTTTGACCACACTGATGTGAGATTAGCTGCTGTGGTGGAGGACCACAGAGCAAAGGTCAAGGATGACTCAGAAAGGCAGGTTCAGTTGAACAACAACAGACTTATCCAACCCATTGTCCATTCCCCAGCTTGTTTCGAACCTCTTAAAGGGACAGTGTCACACATTAACATCTCAGAGTTTTGCTATCCACTAATCCTGAAGAGAAACATCAGCTGTGCTGCTGCCATCAACACCTTTGTTTCTAGATGTTGGAGATCGGCCTATTTTTCAGTGTAGTCCTGTTTCTCTGACTGTGACTAACTGGATGTTTATTTGTTTATTTATTTGGATCCCCATTAGCTGTCAGTAATTTGACAGCTACTCTTCCTGGGGTCC